AAAAGAGCCATTTTAGAGCACTTTTAGCTCAAAAGTCCCATGCATGAATGTAAATTTTGTAACTTTACATGCTAGATCGAGCTTAGGGGCTTGGATCTATCATTTGTACAAGTGTTGTACATCAGAAATCAAGGATTTAGGGTGTGGACGTTATCGACTCGGAGAGTCCGTTCTTGGGACTCGACGAGTCCAAGGCTTTGAGTCCTATATTTGTTTAGGGTCAAAAGAACTCAGTTGGTTGTTGGAAGGGTTGTAGCACGACAGAAGGAGTGAGCCAATGCATTGGACTTAGTTTTAGACCTGGAGTTCATGAGACTCGACGAGTGCTAGAACAGACTCAACGAGTCAAAGGCAATCTTCTTATTTTTGAAGATGAACTCAAAGAGTTGTTCATAAAACTCGGTGAGTCAAGGTCAGGACTTGTTCATCAGATGAAGGTGAAGTCGACGAGTTGTTCATACAACTCAGTGAGTCAGATGAAGGTTCATTGATGTTCGTAAAGAAGGGGAACTCGTCGAGTCGTTGCCAAACTCAACAAGTTGAGTCATGGATAAGGACGAGTAAAGGGTAGGGACTCAGCGAGTTAAAGGCCCAACTCAGCGAGTCGGGTCAACTAGAAGTTGACTTTGTCTTGAACTTGGTAGGGGGTAAAATAGTCATTTTACCCTAAGAGTAGATATCAGATTCTGACTGAGTGTTTTGTGGGGATTATAGCCGGACGATTTCTAGAGCAGCAGCAGACAGAGGTTTCCTGCGTAGATTTTCAGCAGCTACTCATACGAGGTGAGTTACCTTCCAGTACGGGTGGGTCTAAGGCCATAATGCCGGACCACCAAAGAGGAATAATTAGGAGATGATTGTCTTTGTGATAATTATCTTGGTTTGGTTATGTACATTTGTTATGAGATTTATCTATACGATATGTTATGTGTATAGTAGGGATCAGTTTCCCTGACAGCGGTCCTTAGGACTGAAAGGTAGGTCAGTACCCGGATATTCCTGACTGTATGTTTATATCTTGATGTTGCATGCTAGTGGTAGGGGGAATAGTCCCCAGTTACCGGTTGAAAGATACCGATTACAATTACCGGTTGAAAGATACAGATGATGATTACCGGTTGAAAGATACCGATGACGATTACCGGTTGAAACATACCAATGGAAGTTACCGGTTGAAAGATAACGATGATATTGTATGGTATGTGGTATGATGGGGGAACTCACTAAGATTTGTGCTTACGGTTTCTGTTTTGGTTTCAGGTACCTCTTTGTCTAAGGGGAAGGAGCCGGCAGCGTAGCATCGCATTGCACACACAGACACACACACATGATTCCGGATCGGATTTTCTAGTATTGGACTCTGATTTTCATTATTTTGATGTCATGGTTTGGAACACAATGTTATGATTTTGTAATGTGTTGATTTATTGACGATGTTATGGTAAAACGTTTTAAAAACTATTAATTCAAAAATGAAATTTTCGGGCTCGAATTTTGGGATGTTACATATGCAGGGCGTACTAAGTGGTACGCTTGGTGTACTAGCCCGATGCCTGCTCGCGGATATCACTCATGTACGTGGGGCGTACATGGAGTATGCATGGTGTACGTAAGGCTGGGAAAAACCTGAATTTTTAGGGTTTGTGCCCTATTTAAATGTCTTAAGCACCATCTTAGACCTTTAATGACTAGCCTCCATCCTCCTTGTCCCAAAAAATGATACCCTAGAGTGATTTGGTGAGTTTTAAGCTTGAAAGAGTGTTTGTTAGTGGTTTGTGAAGGATAAGAAGAACAATAACACTTGAAGGAGTGGCTTGAGCTTGTAACTCTAAGGATAGCTTCTTATTTGCAAGCTTTTGAGGTAAAAATTTCACACATTGATGATCATATATGTTAGATCTAGTTTATGGTGTATTTTGTGCACTTTTGAATCTTTTTTGTTAAAGGTGCGCTTTTGATCTACTCCAAAAGCAATGGATGCTAGATCTTAGCTCCATTCAGTCCCCATGCTCATAAAAATGCCAACTTTATGGAGTATTTGGAAACATGCATGTATTAAGACCTGTGTTAAGCTCTTTTTGAACTCTTGAGCCCCATTAAGCCATACATGTATGTAAAGTTGCCAACTTTACATGATAAGTCACCTTTAGGGACCAAATCTGAGTGTTTGGAGAAAGGGCTTAACTGTTAAAGTGCCTAATGAGGAAGACTTGTGGACAGGGGAGTACGTTGAGCGTACGAGCTGAGTACACTCCGCGTACTCAACAAGGGGCGTTTTGGGCTTGGCCATTTTTGGTATTGGGCCATAATGTGGATTTGAAAGTTTGAGCCTAGTTAGGCCATTATACCTCTATTTTGGGCTTAGGGCTATCATGTTGGGGTTCCTTGGATTTTAGGCCCATGATGGATATTCGACCCAGTTTGGACATAAATTAGGCTTTAGGATTTAGGCCTTTTGAATAGCTGAGTTGGGCCTTGGCTTTGGGCGAAGTAAGATAATGGGTAAAATGGTCTTTTACCCTGGTTACAGACCAAATAGCTTAGACTTTTTGTTATGGGTCCTAATCCAATTAATAATTGGATGTTATTGATTTTGATAGCGTGGGGATTTTCCAAGCCAATAGTCAGAGATTTAGTTGAGTGAGTCAGCAGTTAGAGGTGAGTTTCCTCACTATGTTTAGTTGGTTGAAGGCACCAATACCGGCCCATGGTTTATTATATTAGGGTGCTAGATGTCTGTGTGACTCTTGCATGTATTATGTTCTTGTATGTTTACCAAGCAAGGCCCGATGCTGGGCAGGGCCCTATGACTATCTTGTATGCTATTATCTTTGTGATTATCGCATGTGTAGTGTGATTATATGTTAATATGTATATCGGGCGGGGCTCGATGCCAAGGTGGGCCTGATGACTGACAGATCTGTATAGCGAGTGGGGCTCGATGTCGGGCGAGGCCCATTATGTGTTTATTGTGTATGATATGTGGTATTTTGGGGAACTCACTAAGCTTTGTGCTTACAGTTTTCAGTTTATGTTTCAAGTACTTCTATTTCAAAAGGGAAGAGCCCGGGATGATTGCAGTGCACACACCACATCATTCCACATTTTTGTGATTACTCTGATGTTTCATGATGTATTTGACATACTTTGTTCTATCTTGGTTTTATGATGATGTTTGGATTACAATTTTATTAATTTAAAAAAGAAATTTTTTGTCTTAATGTTTGGAACGTTACAAAAGTTTTGGGCTATTTTCAAGAACTTCGAACTTACACTTGGAGAGGCGATTTTAAGAAGAGCATATCATCATTAAGTGCTTTGGAAACATTATTTAATGATTTTGTAAGTTTGTTTAAAGATTAAACTTGTTGAATTTGTATTTCAATTCAAGCATGTGTGGCTAACTTTTCCATCCATGTCCGGATTTAGATTCCTAATTATTTTTGTTAGATTGTGATGTGAACTAGATTTCATGTTTATTTTCTAGTAATCTTTGATTTGGTCTTCATTATGTACTTGATTTGTATTCTTTTCACTTGATCAATGAAATTAAGTTTAGAATCCGAAATGTTATTTCAATTATGAATTTTAGTCTTTCAGTTCATCTACTTTATGAAGTTTTATTTAATGTCAACAAAACCCCCGCTTTAACAATGGGTTGTATGTTATGTGAAAACATGGTCAACCATTAAGTCCTGTATCTCTATCGACCGATTCTGCTTATTCTATACTATCTTTAGTATAGATAGTATCAATGACTTGTGTTTAAATTGTTATTATTTTTATCCATTTATTTGTTGGTTTGACACCCAAACAATAATATTTAATTACTTCAAACAAAATGATTAAAAACGAACATATGTCTCATGTCAAAAGATATATAAACACTCTCATTTTTAAAATTCACCAAATGATGTTGATCCTTAAAATTTTAAGTGAACGACTCTTTAAGTAATAATTGATTGTAACCCTAACAGAAAGATGAAAGCCAAATTGTATATGCAGTAAATAAATAGAATGTGTATACCATTAATTAATTACCAAAAACGTCTCTCTAAATTTTCATGTGGACATAGCTTGGTTTCTCATATCAAAGTGAATTTTATTGAATCTCCTTGCGTTATTTGTTAATCTTCTTGGATCAAAGTGAATTTTATTAAATCACCTTAGCGTTATTTGTTGATCTTCTTAGCATCTTTATTATCGAGGTTGTGTGTTTATCGAAGTGCTTGAAGTCCCTCTTGTTATTCCCTACGAATAGATATTCTAAATACGACATTTACTTTTTATAACTATATTCAAATAACGACTCAATAAATATGATTTTCAAAGTCTACATTACGTGCCTACATCCTAAAAAAGGATAGAAAGAGATATAAGATGTATCCATGCTAACAATTTAAATTCAAACTAAGAAATTCTTAATAATATTGCAAATATAATATGAAATACGGAAAATATGTTTTAAAATTAAAGTTAATTGGAAAACTCTTTGTTAATAATTATTTTAATATTATATTTTAGTTTAATAATAGTTCATAAAATATAATGTTACATTTAACAATTTACTTAATTTTTTATTCGTATTATTTAATAAAATTTAACTTATTAGAAAGTTTTATCAAATTCAAAAATTTAATATCTTTCTTTTTTTTTAGATATTCTTCTATTATTTTTAGAAGATTACATATATAATAAAAATATATCAATTTTTTATTAAACATAACAACATAACAAGTAATAAGATTTATCATCAAAATATCTGGCTCACAGGAGGCACGGATATTTTCAGATTGCCTTCGTCCTTTCTGACTTGGCATACATCTGATGATAATGACACGTGTAAAAGCGTCCCCATGTGTGTATACTGTTGTTCCAGCGACCGCCTCCCTCCGTCGAACTTTTCTCCTCTCCGCCCCTAAAATCAGTATTACAATTTACAACTGAATCCTCTTCAGAGATTGTGTGAATTCCAAATTACCTTTACAAAATACATGAAAATGGAAGGTAGTCGCCGGCGTAATTCATCATCTCCGTCAATGTTAGCAGATCTAACCGCGACTCATGGCTGCGAGAATGAATTGAGTCCGTCGAACTCCGACTTGACCTCGAACTCGTCTTTGACGGTTAATAATTGTAAAGGAAGGTTACATCACATTGAAGATTCAGTGAAGGTAACTTCCGTTCTTCTATATCTGTTTCGTCTTGTTTTGATTGATTCACTTTTTATGTCGCTCAAATTGATTGTATCCATATGATGTTCCGAGCTGGTAGTTATACGTTATCATCAACAGTGTGATTTACGTTTATGTTCCTTATTTGACTCTTGATTTGAGATTTGTTGTTTTTGTTTCCTACACAGATCCTAACCAAACCGGAGTTAGATTATTTGTTGTTTTTGTTAGATAGACATCTTGAATTAATTGGTTGTATGTGGTATTTGTTTTGGAAAATATGGTGAATAAGGTGATTTGTTTGATGTGTATCCATTTGTGTAAGAACATGAACCATTGCTTCTATGTGTCACATGACATTAGTCCTGAACTTTCCACCTTTGAAAGAGCAAAAGCTCATTAGATCTGATAATGGGAAGAAACTGATAGATTGGCTGATAAATTTGAGATCTTGAGGGACTTCTGCTTCTTAAACAAGGCTATGATTCTGTAAAGGCATGTCTATTGCTTGTGAAAGCAAACCTAATAGTTAGGTAACAAAATCCCTACTAAGATTCACATTACCTAGCTGAATATTACAATAACAAGAAACTACTCCATGACATATTTCTTATATCTAAATCTTATATATGTTTATATTGTGGTATTTCATCAGTTGTACTAATGATGTCAAAGAACCACTTTCCTCCTAGAAAATACAATTGGCATGTTTTCCCCTTGAACTGATCAACTACTCTTATCACATTTCACCAAACTTAGTTGATGTTCAAAAATAGTATACTACCCACTATACTTTTGGAATAAACTTTATATAACTTAAAAAGATAGTGCTGACGTGACACAGGTTGTTGCCAGTGCCAGGTCATCCATGTCATGTTGTCGTGTCTCTTCTTTTATCATCTACCATGCATAATATCAATACAGATTTATGATTAATGAATTGTTTTATAACAGGATTGTGTGACAACATGGACATATGAAAAACATGATTTGTATCTTGATCATTTGGAATCATCATTTGTTGAGCAGTTGCATCGGTCTATAGGCGTACTTGCTTTTTGCTCAAATGGTGATTCAAAGAGTCATTATTTATCTTGAAAGCTAGTTGCTAAAAATAGAAATAATTCTACAAAGGTGAGTTAGTTAACAACATAAGAAAACTCTACTTCCAATTTTCACTCATTATGTTAATCTGTTACCCCTTCTATCTCTCTCTCTACAGTTAAAAATAGTACAAGATTCCTACTCGGACAAAACTACCCTCAAGAGAAAAAGCCATCACACCAAAATATTTTATAATGCACTGAGGCTGGTTGCATCCACCAAAATATTATGGACAAAACTCTACTTTGTGAGACTTTACAAAGAAAACCTCAAAGATAATTTATAATGCACTGAGGCTGGTTGCATCCACCAAAATGTCTAGTCATTTCGTTAGGAACACAACATCGATATCCTTATATGTATTCTTCCTATTTTAGTAAGTGTGATCGAGCTCGAAATAAGTATAAGGATCATGCACTTAAACATCATTAAAGATTATATATCTTTTATAAAGCAATTTATTGTTAGTTAATAGAGTTAGACCATTTATTCAATGATAGATCGATAAAATTGTTTCATCTTTCAACAATTTTAGATCCTAAAAGCGACAATGAGCCTTTTCATAGTGGTGATTTATATTAATTAGTGTAGAAGTTTTATCCTACATATTTTATTTTAATGACGGCCAGAAATTACATTTGAGGATGCAACTTCAAAATTGTGTCAATGATCGATAAAGACCAAAAGAGCTATCAGTTTCGATCTTAGTTATTGGGTAGCTCGTTTCATACTTACTCTCCTAGTTTCTATCAATAGAGAAATTTTTGAATGGATCATTAGTTTTATACTTCAAAAGCGAACTTGCCAAAAAGATTAGTTTGGATACAATTATGCAGGATTTGAAAATTGCAAAAGATTAAGGAGTTACACTTTTGATGAAATGATGAATGATGTAGGAATATTTTATATAGTTGCCATGCTTAGAGCATTGATATTTTATAATTTTGAATAAAACTACACTTGTTTGTATGGTTTTGTTTTAAAAAATTTGTCTCCTAATTTTGATGTTTATGTTCCGCCCTTGGATATAGCTCATACTTGGGCATAAATACGAAGCAAATTACAATAACAAATTATTACTTTAGATCTACAAGAATGAAGTTGTACTTGTAGAAAATGGAAATTTAGTGGTTTACCTTATGGTCTAACACTAATGACATTAAAATCCTCATGACAGTGATACTACCTTAGGTAGAACCTTGGTTTACCTTATGGTCTAACACTAATGACATAAAAATCCTCATGACAGTGATACTACCTTAGGTAGAACCTTGGTTCTCCGTAGAATGTTATGCATATACATAATAGGAAACAATTCAACATATTAGTCATCCATATGGTTGAGAAAATCCCGAAGAAGTGATGATCATTAACCTGGTGCACATGAAAAAAATGTCAAGTTGATCGACTTAAATACCATAACCATATACCATCACAAAGAGAAAGTCCATTAAATAAACAATGCCACAAACTCCAAAGAAATAAGGATACTTGCCTTAAATCTTAGATACCACCAAAGATGTCAATTAATTCATAAATTCAAAAATATATTCCTATATTTGATTGAAATGGATACGCCTTTGCAAAGTTATTCACTAATAAGGTTATTTTGACTTTAAATAACTTGTATTTATATATTTTATAAATATGAACTTACATATAACATAAGTTTCCCAACCATATATCACTTTATCCAACAATCTAGGTATAACACCTAACCTCCTGATCGATAGTAACTCACATGAAAGATTAGCCGTCGACACTTTTCTCCCCGATATGCAATTAAACTGAGAAGTAGATACATATTCATGGATATCTAGAACGAGTTGTATAAAATTAAATTAAATCTAGAGAAAAGGTGAATTGCTACTTTGGAGGCATGTTTATTTATTGGTTGCATTTGCAATAAGCAGCTAGTCTATGCATTATATATCTTTCTATTCCCTACTTCCTTCTCCAACTTAAGATATATAATTGCATTGGACATCAATTGAATAAGTGATATCTATTTCCCTTTTCGATAGAAACTGATCTTCAACTTTCGTCATTTCATTTAACAATTCATCATTGTTATTTAATCATTCGTTGACTAAGAAGAATAGTTAGGTTCTTCCATCCCTAATGCAAGGACTTTTTTCTACCTTCCTTATGTGGTATTCGATGGTAATTCCTCTATAACTTCAATTGTTGCGCTTTCACACCCTAGTGTCATCCGCTTGATCTTCAGTTGATGATTTTTTGCATATGACCTTCAAAATCAATGTTTATCCAAAATTTTAGGGTCATAATTTTAATCCTATCGTTAATCCTTTTTGTTTATCCAAAATTTTAGGATCATAATTTTAATTTTTTGCATATGACCTTCAAAATCAATGTTGTGTGTGCTCAAACACCATCGGTTGCAAAACATGAACACCTAGCAATTCATCACTGATTTGGTGTTCTTTTTCTTGGTTTGGTAACAGCTCAGTCGCAAACAACTTGCAATTGCTTATGAGCACAACATAACAAAAAAAAAATACAAGTTTAAAAAAGGTATGTGAATTTTGAAATTGTTCTAAACTTGTTGAGCATGTATAAAAAAAACTACAGCATTATATAACAAGTTTAACAAGTTAATAAGCGTAAAATACTATGAATTTCGAAATTGTTTATACAAGTTTCGAAAGTATTCTAAGTAATAACAAGAATTACAAAATTTGTTTTCAGCATAAACACAACTCAAGACCACTTTAGACCGAGGTTAGCAAATATTTAGTATTTTTACACAAAACTAACAATATAATCATAAAAACTAGATAATAAGATGTTTGTAATTGTTGTTCAAGTTTACAAATTTCAAACTTGGTTTTCAAAGTATATAAACAATCCATGACCATTATATACCATGTTTACCTAGTACCAAGCATTATATTACATTTATACACAACATTAACACTAAAAACGTAATTACTAGATTCAATACACAATTTCAAAATTATTCCAAATGATATTAGCACACACAAAAAAATAACTAACATTTAAAAGCTTAAAATTGAAAATATGACTTTTGAAATCTTTGTATGATATTTCGAAATTGTAATATATATATATATATATATATATATATATATATATATATATATATATATATATATATATATATATATATATATATATACTAGGTTTAAACCCGTGGAAATCCACGGGTGATAAATTGAAATATAATTATAGTTTTTAATTTGTAACAAAAAAAAGATATGAAAGTTTAGAAAAAATGAAGAATAGTGATATTAGCATTAATATGAATAAGTCAAATACAATAAAGTTGTAAAAATTAATTAATTAATATGATAGATGAAGTACGATACAAGAAAAGTAAATAAAACATGGTAGAAAAGTAAATAAAAGATGGTAGAAAAGCGTTGTTTATAAATTCCCAAAAACTTCCTTATAAACGACATTGGAAGTTTTATTTGTGAGACTACCATCCTTATCTAAAATTAACAATTTTAATTCGTCCCTACTTTGGACTCTAGATAAAGCAACATACAATTGGCCATGTGAAAACACGGGATGTTTGAGAAACAAACCAACCTTGGATAATGACTGTCCCTGACTCTTATTAATGGTCATTGCAAAACATACAGCCAATGGAAACTGTCTTCTTCGAAATTTGAATGGAATCAATGAAGGTAAAATTGTGTGATACACGATAATCGTGATGATTATAAATTGCTTATTGATCTTATGTATCTATTCAAGATTATATTTTTACAATTAGAAAAACATCTATTCCAGCATATTGATTATTGTTGTAAATTTCAACCATAAATTCATAGAGAAAACAAAGTGATCTAAACTGATAATACTAACCTGACATATGGATATGGAAATCTTGCAGGTAGAACTGGAATGAGGATTACAACTTTAACGAAGCAGTTTGATGTAAGCTTAATGAAAAAAAATCGCAGAAACAATTGAACATTAAGAAGACGAATGAGGTGTTTCAAAATTTTGGATTTCACGTTTTGAGTTAAAGTTATATGCTTGAATATTGGAAAAAGATTACGATTATATGATTTTATTGTTGTTGGATCTTTATTAGATATAATTTTCTTCCTGATTTTTTGGAATTTAAAAGATTACAACTAAAAATTAGTTTAATATTCAAATTTCATCTAAAAAAGGAGTATAGAATATTAGGAAATAGTTGGTTGAATATAGGTTATTTACAGAAGATAAGTAAATATGCTGCAACCATTACAAAAATGTATGAATTAATTTTAGAGAATCAAAGATATAAATTTTGTTTACAATTGGTTATTGATTATTTATTAAAAATAACATATTTATCGTGACAAAAATAATAGTTATTATAAATAATAGACATAAATGTTCCATGTTTAAAATAATCAACATAAAGATGCGAAGGTGATTATGGTTAATATTCATTATTGGAGTCAAATGTAGTTCACGTGTAAAAGCAAAAATGTTCGTATTTGGTAATACAAGTCAAAATTGGGTTTCGCATATGAGGTTGTATGGATTGGGGTTAAAGATGCGAAGGTGATTATGGTTAATATTCATTTCGTATTTGGTGAGACAAACAACTCAAATGCGAATGAACTAAAAAAAAATGACTGGAACATGCGAAGAAAGAGGGTGAATGAAGAATGTGAATTTTACAGTAGAATGCGAATTGGGGAAGAAAGCTAAGAATTTCGCATTTTTATTATACAAATTGATTGATTGATTGATTTGTCTTAATTGTTAATTACGATATATGAAATACTTATCAATTTAGGGGCAATATCGTCATTTTGAAGTAAAATAAGCCTTGGTTATTAAATGAATCATACGAAGGATCTGTTATTTGATTTTGGAATTGGGGCGAATAATCGAACCATTTGGAGTTGCGAATTTGATTTTGAAAAGCCAATCAGTTGGGTTCGCATATAAAACAGAAGTTTTGATTTTGGATTAGCAATTGGGTTAATTGGTTTATTGATTGAGGGACGATTCGTGAAGAAATATGCGAAGTCAATAAGGACTGTGAAATGTGATTTGTTCAATATTGGAGTCAAATGCAGTTCACGTGTAAAAGCAAAAATGTTCGCATTTGGTAATACAAATCAAAATTGGGTTTCGCATATGAGGTTGTATGGATTGGGGTTAAAGATACGAAGGTGATTATGGTTAATATTCATTTCGTATTTGGTGAGACAAACAACTCAAATGCGAATGAACTAAAAAAAAAATGACTGGAACATGCGAAGAAAGAGGGTGAATGAAGAATGTGAATTTTACAGTAAAATGCGAATTGGGGAAGAAAGCTAAGAATTTTGCATTTTTCTTATACAAATTGATTGATTGATTGATTTGTCTTAATTGTTAATTGCGATATATGAAATACTTATCAAGTTAGGGGCAATATGGTCATTTTGAAGTAAAAGAAGCCTTGGTTATTAAATGAATCATACGAAGGATCTGTTATTTGATTTTGGAATTGGGGCGAATAATCGAACCATTTGGAGTTGCGAATTTGATTTTGAAAAGCCAATCAGTTGGGTTCGCATATAAAACAGATAAGTTTTGATTTTGATTAGCAATTGGGTTAATTGGTTGGTTTATTGATTGAGGGACGATTCGTGAAGAAAAATGCGAAGTCAAGAAGGACTGTGAAATGTGATTTGTTCAATATTGGAGTCAAATGCAGTTCACGTGTAAAAGCAAAAATGTTCGCATTTGGTAATACAAATCAAAATGGGTTTCGCATATGAGGTTGTATGGATTGGGGTTAAAGATACGAAGGTGATTATGGTTAATATTCATTTCGTATTTGGTGAGACAAACAACTCAAATGCGAATGAACTAAAAAAAAAATGACTGGAACATGCGAAGAAAGAGGGTGAATGAAGAATGTGAATTTTACAGTAGAATGCGAATTGGGGAAGAAAGCTAAGAATTTCGCATTTTTCTTATACAAATTGATTGATTGATTGATTTGTCTTAATTGTTAATTGCGATATATGAAATACTTATCAAGTTAGGGGCAATATGGTCATTTTGAAGTAAAAGAAGCCTTGGTTATTAAATGAATCATACGAAGGATCTGTTATTTGATTTTGGAATTGGGGCGAATAATCGAACGATTTGGAGTTGCGAATTTGATTTTGAAAAGCCAATCAGTTGGGTTCGCATATGAAAACAGATAAGTTTTGATTTTCGATTAGCAATTGGGTTAATTGGGTTATTGATTGAGGGACGATTCGTGAAGAAAAATGCGAAGTCAAGAAGGACTGTGAAATGTGATTTGTTCAATATTGGAGTCAAATGCAGTTCACGTGTAAAAGCAAAAATGTTCGCATTTGGTAATACAAATCAAAATTGGGTTTCGCATATGAGGTTGTATGGATTGGGGTTAAAGATACGAAGGTGATTATGGTTAATATTCATTTCGTATTTGGTGAGACAAACAACTCAAATGCGAATGAACTAAAAAAAAATGACTGGAACATGCGAAGAAAGAGGGTGAATGAAGAATGTGAATTTTACAGTAGAATGCGAATTGGGGAAGAAAGCTAAGAATTTCGCATTTTTCTTATACAAATTGATTGATTGATTGATTTGTCTTAATTGTTAATTGCGATATATGAAATACTTATCAAGTTAGGGGCAATATGGTCATTTTGAAGTAAAAGAAGCCTTGGTTATTAAATGAATCATACGAAGGATCTGTTATTTGATTTTGGAATTGGGGCGAATAATCGAACGATTTGGAGTTGCGAATTTGATTTTGAAAAGCCAATCAGTTGGGTTCGCATATGAAAACAGATAAGTTTTGATTTTCGATTAGCAATTGGGTTAATTGGGTTATTGATTGAGGGACGATTCGTGAAGAAAAATGCGAAGTCAAGAAGGACTGTGAAATGTGATTTGTTCAATATTGGAGTGAAATGCAGTTCACGTGTTATTATGTGTTTAAGTTGATTAGGGGTAAATAAGTTAGTTAATTACAGAGATAGTGTAAATACAGAAGTACATTTAGGTAAAATAAAGTGGTATGTCAAATAAATTGATATGTAAAATGAAACATATAAGTAACTGCATAATTACACATGAATGTAATTCTTCAAGATTTTGTGGGAATAAAGCAATGTAGTTTAAAATAAGTTGTAGGAAAAACAAAATAACATGGCAAACCAAATTATAGGACTACAAAAAAACCCAATGGTCCGAATGTACTTTCAAGAAACAAAAATGACAACCATGAAATCCCAAAAAAAAAACATTCAAAACCAAGAAAGATAAAAACGTAAACGGCTTAGGAGTCTATGATGCGAAATCAAAATTAAACACGAAGTAAGATTGTTTGTCGAAGTAAAATGCATTTACTTTTCTTTCTTGGGTACCAAAAGAGGAGTTGGTTGTTCATCTGGTGGTGACAGTCTAGGATTTTTAGAAGTAGACAAATTCTCCATTTCATCAATATCTATGCATGTAGCAAGGTTTCTTTTCAACTCAACTGGTGTAGAAATGAATTTTATAGAACTTGTTGCAGTTGACATGTCCCTAGCACATGGAGTTAAATTTTCACCGGTCTGTGAAAAAGAATCCTAAAAAAATATTTAGTTAGTTGTTATAAATTAAAACAAAATATTTGAGAAATATATTTTAAAAACTAAAACCTTGAGAACTTTGGTGTCATGAGAACCAACATCTGAAGAACCAATCAAGAATGAATCAGAATTAGCAGGCTGCATCACAAGATGAAAACAAATGATATTGAGTAAGATATTGTTGGGTCAATGTGTTAAAAAACAAAATATAATTGTTGAAAAAAACCTGTGGAGTAAGATTATTTTTTTCCAATTCATCAATTATGTCTGCATTCTCGGTTAATCTTGATATCCCATAAAGATTACTTTTATTATCGACATTGTAACGTGTGATATCAATCTTAATTGCCAACTTTCTGTCCAACACAACTTTCAACTCCATTGGATACAATTCCAAATTGTTGCCAGGCTAAAATGTAAATAAATATCATTAGAAAATTTGTATGTAAAATATATAATGCCAAGTTTTAGGCCAACACAATTGTAAACACCTTTTAAAAAAAAACCAAACTGATGCCAAGTTAAAATATAAAATAATACCTTCTTGTTTTTATCATACAACTCTTTAGTTGTGTATTTGAACAACTTCTTTGCTTCTTGGTCAAATAAAGTTAAAGTCAATGTTCTGTGTTGTCTTGAACCCGAAGTGGGATTTTAAATCTAAATAAAGTATAAAATTATATTATATTAGACAATCATGATAAACATATATTATTATTATATAAAATTAATATCTAATACTTTGGAATAACCGAAATTTTGATATTTTTGCATTTAAGATTAGCACATTCATAAGTAACGATTTCGGCCACTTCATGAGAACCATCAACCTTATCAGTTGAAGACTCTTTTTCTTTTGCTGACTTTTTGCAGTTGCTACAAGCAAGGTAATACCAACGTATATTTTGACGTATTCCCTTAACAGTACCAACAATAATGACAGTCTTTTCCTGGATATTAAAATAATGTTCATTGTTAATAAATGTTATTTTGCGAAAGTGTATTTTAGTTTAGTTATAACAATATACTCTAAATATGAAAAAACATTTAAAATTTAAAAACATAAGTGCATTAAACTAACAATTTTAAAAATAATGTAAAGTACCTCCAAAGGTTCAAACAAGTCTTCAATATTAGAAAACAAATGATTTTTCAGAAAGTCATCATGTTCTGTGTCTTGTTTTGATGTAATCATTTTAATTCCACTTGATGACAGTTGTTGTCCATTTTCAGAGACCAATCTGTTCATTTACAACAAAGAAATGATTTAAATTTATTATAGTATGAAATAAATAAATCTGATAATACATAGGAAATTCTAAATGAAAATACTTGTTTTTGTAGATTGTAATTTCATCGATATCATTGTTTATGAAAACCCTACTAACATCAAAGTAGGTGGATGAAAAAGGACGACCTGCCAAAATAAATTTGATTATTCAATAATATATATATATATATATATATATATATATATATATATATATATATTAGATTATGCTTGTTAAAAATAGTTACAAACCATTAATAAACTTCACCCTGGCAAATTGAACAATAACAACAACTGGAGCAAGGCTGTTATTGTTAGCAAGAAAATCATGCATGTAGTATGCATTATGACCCCACAAAGTTATCTTAAGCTTAGTATCCCTGAAATAATAAACAAATATTGTAAATAATATAAATGAAGCTATATTACTTGTTTGTAATAATGGTGAATACTCTATATCTTGAAGATGCAAGAGCATCTTGTGTCTTGATTTATCTTGTTCTAAGGTATCCATATGCCCATACTCAAAAATGTGTCCAATAATATCTACAAAAGCAAGGAAATATAATTTAATATAAAATATCAAATTGTAATACGAAGAAATAATTTAGGATGTTATATAGCAAAAGTTAATATTAAATAAACCAACCAAAAGAGTTTGACTCCAGGATGTTAGAAACGATAGTATTGAAGTCAACAAAATGAAAGCCATGTGCAGATCCAGAAAAGTTTTCACAATCTTTTACAATTGTATCGTGATAAAAATTTAGTTTTGATTCCGGATGAGCAAACTTAAATTTTGAAGTATTTGGTGCGACGTTAGGTTTCTTGACATAAATTGAACTATCCTCTTTTAAATAGCGCTTGAATATAGGAAACCATTTCTTCACACATGATGCATGAATTTTCCTTCCCTAAAATAAATGAAATAATAAATATTTAAATATAATTGCTTATGAGTATGAATAATTTTTTATAAAAATAATAATTGAATACATCCATCTTATACCTCCTCATCCATCAAAATCATTTCTATCGAGTATGTGTCGTTCGCATCAAATCTTGACTTTTGAGTCCAAAGACGTATGATCCGAACTTTAATTGTGAAATTGTCCTTGATTGAGTCAATTTACTTTATAGGAGTAATATGTTCCATTGTACCTTGCAAGTTAAAAAAAAAAGTTTACATTAAATTAGACAATTATAATCAACACACAGAAAAAAACAATCAAACAGTCAAGAAGAAAGTACATTGGTATTTAATTGACACTTATAATCTGCAATGAAAATAAAAACAAAATTATATATAAAAAAAAAGCAAACATTGAAAAAGAAAAAGTAAAAATACATACATCAACCAAAAAGGTAGTAGATTGCCATTTTATTTGATTTTGATGGATACAAAAATCCATTGTTATCATGTGTTTAACTTAATTAGGGGTAAGTAAGGGGAAACAGTTAATTGAACTTTAAAATTTATTGTTTAGATTAAAAAAAATTCAAATAGCCAAAAAGAAAGTACATTGCCATTTAACTGAGTGGGAGGGACATTTTAGGAATTTCTAGCATATAAAAAGAAAACATATACTATGGACGTTTTAAATTTATTGTTTGCATTGAATTTGAAATTTATAATCATCAACCAATAAAAAATTAAAAAAAATAAAAAAAATCAAACAGCCAAAAAGAAAGCACATTGCTATTTAACTGATATCCCAAAAATAAAACATATATTTGTTCTAATTAATGTTTTTTTTACTTGTTAACATATGTGTCAAAAACTTTTCTCTTATACATAACAGGGAAAAAACAATCAAACAGCCAAGAAGAAAGTACATTGCTATTTAATTGACACTTATAATATGCAATGAAAATAAAAAAAAGTTATATTAAAAAACCAAACAGTCAAAAAGAAACAACAATTAAGTGGAAACAGTAAAAATACATACATCAACCAAAAAGGTAGTACGTTGCCATTTATTTGATTTTGATGGATACAAAAATCCATTCTTATCATGTGTTTAAGTTAATTAGGGTAAGTAAGGGGAAACAGTTATTTGAACTCTAAAATTTATTGTTTAGATTATAAAAAAATTCGCCAAAAAGAAAGTAAATTGCCATTTTACTAATAATGTATAAAGAAAACATATATTTGTTCTAATTACCTACCTGTCTGTATTCTTAAAGTATTTGTGAAAAAACTGATTTTGATTATTATTAAAGTATTTGTGAGAAAACTGATGATTTTAAAACTTGAATAGAAAACTACTGACATCTACTTTTCACATGATGTTAACATAACATTAAGATCATTTTTTTTATAAAATATAACACGTGTTTCCCTTTTTTTACACTAAAGAATCAATGTTTTTTGTACTTGTGAACATGATTATGCGATTTTTATCTTTTACACTAAAGAATCGATGTTTTTTTTACTTGTAAACATATGTATCAAAAACTTTTCTCTTATACATAACAGGGAAAAAAACAAAATATAAAACTGATGAAACAGAAAAGGTAAAGAACAGTGTAGTTTTGCTGACCTGATGATGAATATGTCACCTCTGAAATGTAACCTAACGATGAATATGTGATCTCTGAAATCGTATTGAATAAATCACGTTAACAGGAATCGTATTGACTTCTCAAGTTGTATTGAAATATATCATCTATGCGTAAACTGATTGCCTGATTTTTAGGGATTGACACTATATGGAATTTAAATTGATTAGCTGATAATGGAATTTAAATTGATTAGCTGATTTTTTGGGATGGATATTGCATATTCGACAGAAATCAATTTTAAATTTCCTGATTTACTTCCTGATTTACATATTTACTTATTTACTTATTATTTACTTATTCATAATTCATGTTTGCTGATGTAGAAAATATTTTCGAACAGAAGGGCAAAGTGGGAACTTCACTTATAATATATGAGCGGGAAAACGTAAGGTGGAGAGACTAAGGGACTGCCAAGTGGCGTTTTCAGTATTGTTTTATTAGTAGAGAAGATATATATATATATATATATATATATATATATATATATATATATATATATATATATATATATATATATATATATATCACAAAACGATAATAGCTTACTTTGTCTATGTAACCATTCCAATTTATATATATATATATATATATATATATATAAATTGGAATGGTTACATAGACAAAGTAAGCTATTATCGTTTTGTGATATATATATATATATATATATATATATATATATATATATATATATATATATATATATATATATATATATATATATATATATATATATATATATATATATATATGGTTAGGTTCATGTGAGACGGCCTAATTTTGTGAGACCGTAAGACGCATTTTTTTTATTTTTTTTAGTTAATTCAAGTTATGAAAAAAAGTATTTAAAAAAACAATTTTTGGATTTTTCCATTTATTTTGCATTTTTATTTTTTTTTTAATATATGTAAAGTGTAATATTCTATTAGAATATTTCAAGTATTTTTCAAAAAAAATGAATTTTTTTTTAATTTTTTTTTATTTTTTTAGCTAATTCAAGTTTCGAAAATAATATTTAAAAAATATTTTTAGATTTTTCCATTTATTTTGCATTTTAAAATTATTTTTTAGAATATGTCAGTGTAATATATTCTATTAGAATATTTCACGTATTTAAAAAAAAAACATGATTTTTTTTTAATTTTTTTTTAGTTAATACAAGTTCCGAAAATAATATTTAAAAAAAGAATTTTTTATTTTTTCATTTATTTTGCATTTTAAAATTATTTTTAGATTTAGTCTCACGGTCTCACAAAATTAGAATGGTCTCAAATGAACCTGAAACTAGCTTACTTTGTCTGTGTAACCATTCCAAATAAATCTTTCGTTAACAAATCGGACAATATTTCGAACAAATATGGGTTACAAATAGTTTAGGAGTGATCGAATTCTAAAAAGATAAAGAAAAATGTTCAGTTTGGGGTATATCCCTTCATATTGTGTTACATGTGAATGTCGTTGGAATGATCAAATATGGTTGTCAAATTTTTATGGAGTGATCAAATTTTAAAGACTGTTAACCGAAGTATGGGTTATTACTTATTAATCTGCAAAGAAATATGAGTTTGATAAACACTAATCAAAGAGTATCACGAGGCATCCAAGAAGATTATCATGGATCGAGTAATAGTAACATCCCCCATAATGAGAAATGTAAGCATATAAACATTTATCACAAATTCCCTTTATACCCTTTTCATTCCATTGGAGATTCATTCAATAATCAAGATTTGATTTGATTTGGTTGTAATATTTGTAGTGATCAAGGTGGAAGCTTTGAAGCATTACAAATTTAGTTTGTCTTTTGAGAATTCTAATGAGGAAGACTATGTTACCTAAAAATACTTCCAATCTCTTGTTGCAGGTACAAAGGGTAAAATGGTTATTTTCGTGATAACTCAGATTAAAATAAAAGTATATATATATATATATATATATATATATATATATATATATATATATATATATATATATATATATAATTTGGTTATATTATTAAAATAATATAATGGATGATTAATTAGGAGTAACTGAGTTTAATTAGGAGAAATAAAGATCTTTAACCCCTCAAAACCACCACCCTTAATGATGTAGTAAATTCGAGCATGTGAAAGGGTTTTAGTAGTTAAAATCTTAGGCATTATATAAAGCTCGAAAAACCCTATGAGAAACCCACTAGAATTGCAAGAAAAGGTTGATAATCAAGTAAGAAATCGGAGAAAGAAAGTTTGAAGATTTATGGAGCTTTCTAGCAAATTAATGTTTGATTCTTTGATTTTAGCTTAGTAGAGTCATTTGATTAGGGTTGTATGTCTACATTAAATGTTTTGTTTCCATCTAATGTCTCTGTTCTAGTCAATATGAGTTTAATTGATGAAAATTTTGAACTGTTTGAATTTTTATAAAAAGTTTGAATCCATATCCATTCGAGAGTATTCCTGAAAAATAATTTATGATTACATTTGGTAAAAAGCGGAGAAGATTAATGTTGGTTTTACAAATTAATTTTACATAAATTTTGAAGCGTCAAATTTAAAAAAAAATGGCAGAAAAATAGTGTCGAGTAAAGAAGAAATGAAATTCGGGTTTTGTTTTGGGTGGATAGCAAGAACGGTCAAAACAACACAGTGAACTATTTGACTAGGTACTTCTAATTTTTGAGGGATTCAAATTTACAGAAGAGTCCCTTTGGATTTGATCAAGTTTACGTTTAACCCTTCATTCTTTTTATTTTGAATTAAAAACTAAAGTTATAAAAATGGTCCTTGAACTATTAACATATTGACAATACTAAATTCTTTTATACGAAAATAAGAAAGATAAAAATGGTCTATCAAATTTTACTAAACAACTAGTTTTTATTGTTATTATTATTAAAACCAAACATGTTTGTATTTCAACGTTTCAATTCTTTTAATATATGAATATTATATTTGAGAGTGAAAACTTTATTTATATGAAAATATTGATGCAACAAAAGATAATACTTGTACTAAAATTATTACGTACGTTTTAACTAACATAGATGGTGATTATTTTGATTGGCCGAACGAGATATATGGATAGTTGAACCAAAATGAACACGTAGGATGTTGTTCTAGAATTGTGGCCTTAGAAAACATGTTGGCTAAATGTAGGGTGCGTGTAGCGTAACAAGCTTCAGTTAAGGCCTAACGTCATCGAGGTGAGTTTTCTCGTGTTCTGTGGTTGCTCGCACATAAATGTTTGTCATGCGTTTATTATGTGGATTTTATTTATTTATTCATAGTATATTTTATGATAAGTGTACTTGTGTGAAAATGCTATTTTGAGTTGTTTATCTATTGTGTGTTTTATGGTTGACATGTTTAGTGGGAACGGGTGGGGTGTTTAATCGTCGTGAGCATGACGGATGTGTGTGATCGGCGGGGATGGGAATTGAGATTTATACTCATTTCCTTGGGTATTTAAAATATTTGAGTACAATAG